GTTTGGGTAGGTAATTAGACTCCAAATTTTTCAAACTTGGTATCAAAAGAAAGAGATATAAGTCTATTTCGGATGAATTTGGTTTTTCTTAAATCAAGAATCTGTGCAGAATGTTATGACTAGAATAATGCAGAAAGGTCAAATATTGAAAAATTCTAGATTCACAGTTTTATTCCCAAACGAAAGAAATATCATGTACAAAGCCAAAATCTTCCAAAATTTTCAGAATTAAGATGAAATCAAAGATCAAGATTTCTATAGGAAGGGGTTAGAACACTTGCCTTAGAAAAATTTGAGTCTCAAATGTGTGGAATTAATGTAAAACCTCAAGCCAAAGCAAGGCTTCTTCTTTCTCTACTTCAATTCCTCTTCCCTTCTCTTCTCAAACTTACGCTGGTTGCAGCTCCTTTGTTAAGTTTTCCTTTAGTTTCTCCTTTAATTACTTATGTTTGGCTAACACAAGGATTGCTAAGTGGCAACCATGCATGAAAGAAGCCTATGTATCATCCATAGAACAAACATAGGTGGCACCATACTTAGGTTAGCTAGTGACACATGTCCTCCTTTATTTTTTTTTAACTTAATATACATCTTTCACAAATCATATCTAATTACTAAGATTTACATTTAGGTCCCTATATTGCAAACAAGCCCTTACAAAATTTTAAAAAATAAGGGATGTTACACTCTCCCCTCCATAAAAGAAAATTTTAATCCTCTAAATTTGTCATACCTCCTTCGACCACTGATTTAGAAGCTTTAGAATCTTATTCAATGATGGCATATACTCTGGCATGGGCTGATGGTTTAGGAGGCAATGGCTGTTTCTTCTTCTTCAGAGGGAAATCTTTTATTTTATGATCCAACTTCCCATAAGCAAAATAGGCTCTAGTTACCCAAAAACATTGACTTATTTCATGATTAAACCCGTATCTTGCACATAATTGAGTCCTCTTTGGTGACTTTTCTTTCTCGACTCTAGATGCCTTTACCTTCTTATTTCTTATTTCATATTCATTCCCTCTCTTATTTTTGCTGATAAACTTGCCTTTATCTTTCTTGCCATCGATTTCCTGAATTTCCTCTAAGTTTCTTTCAATTATCAAAAGCCCTTTCTACCACATCAGTATATGCTTGGAGTTTTAAAGCTAATATCCGACTTCTTATTGCTGGCCTTAGGCCCCTTTCAAATTTCTTTGCTTTTTTAGTTTCATCATCGGTTATATGATGTAACATCCCATTAGTCCCACATCGGAAGTGGGCAATGTGTATGATTAGCTTATATGGGTCTGATGAGTGTACTACGTTAACTCCCGCTTAAGCATTTTGTCCGTGGTTGAAGGATCAAAATGGAGTTATTGGCCAGTTGACTCATCAGACTCGGGTCGTGACATTTGGTATCGGAGCTGACCTAGCATTTGGGCAGGGTGAGAGGGCTCGAGTAAGAAAGGGCTACCCGTGGACGGAGTCGATAATTCATCACGGTGTGGAGCCACCACTGAGTTAAACCTCACATGCACTATGCTAGGGTTCGATCTGGGATATTGTTGGGCCTTGACGATGACGTCAAGCTAATTAAGTTGGGGATATTGTAACATCTCATTAGTCCCACATCGGAAGTGGGTAATGTGTATGATTAGCTTATATGGGTCTGATGAGTGTACTACGTTAACTCCCGCTTAAGCATTTTGGTCCGTGGTTGAAGGATCAAAATGGAGTTATTGGCCAGTTGACTCATCAGACTCGGGTCGTGACATATGAGTGGCAAATCTGGAGAGTTCAGTGAATTTAGATTCATACTGTGCTATAGTCAAGTTTCCTTGGATAAGATTCAAGAACTCCAATTTTTTCTGCTCTCTAATGCAATCTGGGAAATATTTATCGTTGAACTTTTCTACGGATACCTTCTATGTGATTGGCTTATGTTTGACTTCAGAAATCTTTTTAATTATTCTCCACCAATGCTCAGCCTCTCCTTCCAACATAAAGGCGGCAAGAGAAACCTTCTGATCATCAGGGCAATTTAAGATGTCAAATATTTTCTCTATCTGCATCATCCATCGTTCTGCTATCATTGGATCAGGCTCACCACTAAATTTGGGAGGACTGAGCTTCTTAAACTGTTCAATTCCCAACCCAGTATGATTTGATGTCCCCGTTCCATCATTTCTTCCTTGTCAGACTTAATGTTGCATCACTTTTGTCATAGTCTCCAGAGTTCTCATAATACCACCCAATTGATCAGAAGTAGATGCAACAGGAGAAACAGAGGATCTCGTCATCCTTGCTTCCTAAAAACAACAAAAGAGATTTTTTTTTATCAATCTCTGAATAAAATCACTAAACCTCAAATTTTATTACGCATCTAAAATATCAAAAATCTTAGTGATCCTCAAATTTTATTACGCATCTAACTATCAAAGCATGATTTGAGGATCACTGAGATATTTGATATGTTTGATGTGCAAAATATATTGAGGTCTAGTAAACTATAGTAGTCGGTGAAAAATTACTTTGATGTCTTTTAGGAATCCATGATGTCGAGGACATTCGGTCCTCTTGCTTCATCTTCTTTTGAATAATTGAGTGAGATGAAAGTGTTGATAGGAGACATCAAATTAGAATGGACTAAGAATGGGATAATTTAAGGTGCTTATTGCTCCTAGTTTTAGTGGTGAGCCTGATCCAATTGTAGCAGAACGATGGATGATGCAGATAGAGAATATTTGATGTCTTAAATTATTCTGATGATCAGAAGGTTTCTCTTCCCGCCTTTATGTTAGAAGGAGAGGTTGAGCACTAATGGAGAACGATAAAAAGGATTTCTGAAGTCAAACACGAGCCAATCACATGGAAGGTATTCGTAGAAATGTTCAACGATAAATATTTCCGAGATTGCATTAGAGAGCAAAAAGAATTGGAGTTCTTGAGTCTTATCTAAGGAAACTTGACGATAGCATAGTATGAATCTAAATTCACCGAACTCTCCAGATTTGCCACTCATATAACCGATGATTAAACTAGAAAAGCAAAGAAATTTGAAAGGGGCCTAAGGCTAGCAATAAGAAGTCGGATATCAGCCTTAACTCCAAGCATGCTGATGTGGTAAAAAGGGCTTTGATAATTAAAAGAGACTTGGAGAAAATTCAAGAAATCAGGGGTAACAAAGATAATGACAAGTTTATCAGCAAAAGGAAAAGAGAGGATGAATCTGAAATAAGAAACAAAAGGGTAAAGACATCTAGATTTGAGAAAGAAAAGTCACCGTAAAGAATTCAATCATTTGCAAGATGCGAGTTAAACCATGAAACAAGTCAATGTTTTTGGGTAACTGGAGCCTGTTTTGCTTGCGGGAAGTTGGATCATAAATAAAAGATTGCCCTCTTAAAAAGAAGAAAGAGCTACTGTCTCCTAGACCATCAGCCCATACTAGAGTATATGCTATTATTGAATAAGATTCCAAAGCTTCTAAATTAGTGGTCGAAGGAGGTATGACAAATTTAGAGGACTAAATTTTTTTTTTAAGGAGGGGAGAGTGTAACATCCCTCATTTTTTAAAATTTTGTAAGGGTTTATTTGTAATGCAGGGACCTAAATATAAATCTTAACAATTAGATATGATTTGTGAAAGATTCATATTAAGTTTAAAAAAAAAATGAAGGACAAGTGTCACTAGCTAACCTAAGGATGGTGCCACATATATTTATTCTATGGATGGCACATAGGTTTCCTTCATGCATTCTTGCCACCTAACAATCCTTGTGTTGTTCAAACCTAAGTAATTAAAGGAGAAACTAAAGAAAAACTTAACAAAGGAGTTACAACAAGCGTAAGTTTGAGAAGAGAAGGAAAGAGGAATTGAAGTAAAGAAAGAAAAAGCCTTGCTTTGGCTTGAGGTTTTGCATCAATTCCACATATTTGAGACTCCAATTTTTCTAAGGCAAGTGTTCTAACCCCTTCCTATAAAAATCTTTATCTCTAATTTCATCTTAATTCTGAAAATTTTGGAAGATTTTGGCTTCGTCATGATATTTCTGTCGTTTGGGAATAAAACTGTGAATCTAGAATTTTTCAGTATTTGACCTTTCTGCATTGTTCTAGCCATAACATTATACACAGATTCTTGATTTAGGAAAAACCAAATTCATCCAAAAATAGACTTATATCTCTTTCTTTTGATACCAAGATTGATAAATTTAGAGTCTAATTACCTACCCAAACTGTTATTTCAACTGATCCTATGAAATCTGTAAAACAGAGACTATCGATTCTGACCTTTCAGTATTCTCTTGCTTATAACTCTGTTGAAAACTCTGATTTATGCAAAACATGATTTATCAGAAACTAGACTCATAAATCTTTCAGCAAGCGGAAATAGCCCCAATCAACGCTACCACTCGATAGCGGGCGGTTTCCGTACCGATTTGTTGACGGACCGGTACGTACTGCCCAGTACGAGCGGTATTATTCAAAATTAAAATCCTTGGATGGTAGAATCAATTATATCTTAATCTCGTATCTGAATATCTAGTGCTCTTGATCAATTCTATTGTTCCCCATGATCACATCCTCAAGATTGTCTATACACAAATTTCCTTCACTAGCGGAGGATTGGGATTTGATGGTTGTGTCACCAAATCAATTGTTCCAACTTCCAAGTGTCCCAAGAATGATTTTCTCTGCTAAAATCATAGATCTATTTATTTATACAAGGTTTCATTCAGCCACATGCATCAACTGGCATATTATGTCATATAAAATCAAGTAATCAATGTGCAGTTTTAGAATGAAAGTTGCAGGAACCCCCTTATGGTGATTAGAATCTATGATGTACACGGAGTGTCATCAAGAAAATTTCAGCAACAAAAAGAGCATTACTTTAAAATTTAGCTAATGAAGCTGAAAATATAAAGAGACATATTAAAGCTAAACAAGATTAAAGAGGTCCAAAACATCTTGACAAATGACATAAGTTATGGAAATCAGAAAGTAAAACTAACCTGTACATATCGCAGATCACCGGTACCTAACTCTTCATCATATAATTCCACTTTCAACTTAGAAATGCCTATTATAGTAAAAGATATAGCAATAGCACTGAAGTTTAAGATGTCCAAAAACCAGAAAGAAAAAGCAAAAACTAGCAAATCTTTGAACAGAGAAAGGTATCCTGCCTTGTTTTAAGAGGTCAACTGCAGCATTAATATTTGGATGATGTGCTGGGAACAACAAAAAACCAATATAAATTGAGACAGAGGAGCTGCAAGTATTGAAGCCTATAAAATGGTATGCAAAAGTATCTAGTAAACTATAAATTTAGAATATTGTATCTACAGAATAATCAGGATATCAGACACATGATCCTTTTGTTTCTTCACATGGATGTTTTAGTAGAAGTTAGAATCTACACCATGCAAGTATAATATCACAACATTAAAAGAACAACATTAGCAGATCATTGTAAATCTAATGTCATTGTGAAGTTGAAGTGTCCTAGGGACCAAAGATTGCTGTACGTGTACCAATCCTCTTTTAGAAGGCAAAATAATACAAGCTATATCGAGTGTTTGTTTGATCAATGAACATGCATTTGTGGTTTTGAATAATATAGAATATATGGATCGGACAATATATAACATATGCTAAAATATCATGACCATACATATCATGTGTGACCATGATGTCATAAGTATAACATTTCAATCAAAATAGTATATGACAACTACGAGTAAAGAAATTGATCAGAATTTCATTTGTTTTAGAAACAATACATGATCGCCAGATGTTTCAAACACAATTCATAGTAACAATTACACATTCTTGTAAGCCTAAAACCACAGGGCATTGTTTAGGGGGCTGGAATTTTCGCAGCACAAAAGTTGAAATTGTAGTTTGACTACTATTTCCCTATACTAATCCCATGTCCATCATATTGGCAGACTGACTGTCTATCGGATGGTAGATATGTATGAAGTAGTGATTTCACTCCAGCAATGGACTAAATATATGAATGACCTAAACAAGGTAAGGACTTGCATGGTCATACCAAGCAAGACTTGCAATTTAATGTACCAATACTATACCAATTAGGGCTCGGAATGGTACTATAACATCCCATATTGTGTAGTGACACTCAATTCACTGGTACATACCGAGTTCCGAAAGAAACTTAAAAAAGCTGAAAAATAAAAAAGGAACTGCCCTATATAGAAGCTGTACCACCCTGTACCAGGCAGTATTGGCCCTGTCCTGAGTCATACCAACCCTGTAACAGATGGTATTGGAACTGTATCAGGTAGTAGGTTGGTTGTAGCCTACCACTCAGTACTGGTTATTTTTTAAAGCTACCATAGTTATTTTTTATTACTTGTTCTTTTTCTCTCTTTTCTTGGTTGGTCAGTCTCTGCCCTCCTCTGCCTCCTAGACTCTTCTTTTTTACATCTCTCTTTTTCTTTGATCTAGGCAGTATCGACTTATACCAAGTGTGGGTATGCCGCCCTCTAGTGGCACTGTATCAGCCCTGCCGGCTACCTGGATTGATACACGACCACAATTTTAATCCATGTTGAGTACAATTAACTCTCCTCACCTACCAGATGAATCTAGCAAGGATCAGTGAACATAATATTGCTACATGTAGTGATAGAACTCATACATGAGTCTCCAATTTAAGATGATATATATTGCACAAGGAACATTTATTTATTCAAACAAACATGATAGATTAAAAACCTCTACACATTGGAATATCCACAATGTCATGTGTGCCTTCCTGATACAATCCAATCAAGGGGTTCTCTGGTGTTCCACGAACCACAAGTTTTGCCCGACATCTCCATTCCCACTGCAAGCAATCAAAATTTAACAGTCAACATGTATGACATTTTGGAATTGTTTTAAGAGCAAATATAGACATAATGGAAGAGAAACATTTATCTAGGAGTAAACGAAAATGCATCACCAAAATAACTTGAGAGAGATAGGAAGACAGCAAAATCCAACTAACCAAAAATACAAGATGGAAATGTGTCGTACATAATTGACAATAACTGTCAACACTCAATTGTCTAAATCAAATGAATGAAAATCACCATTTGCCCCTAGAAAACCTACCGACTAAAACAAAACAGCAATAACTTCCACCGACTCTAAATAAAGCAACATAACTTTGTTGTTTCTACAAGGAAAACTAAGGAACCAAGATGCTCCAAGCTACCATCCATTATTCAGTTCTCGAGTATAAACCTCACTATCAAGAATATTTTCACATCCATTTCAACACTATGGCTTTTCTATCGAAACTTTAAACTACCACGTTGTCTTCATAAATCCCAAAAAAGAAATATTTGGAAATTTATTACTTACATTTGAACATTTCAAATCATCCTACTCAAGCTTGCCCATATAAATTCCATCTCCACACAACCTAATCTATGTCTTAACCATCCTTATTCTAGATAAAAAGGTTCACATTCTTCCCTTGGAAATAATAATTTCTGCCAAGTGCAGATATTTGCAGTAGATCACGCAATCCACAAGTAATCAATACTAGAAAGCATGGACAACATACCACCTAATATGGTATGAAATGGGCAGTATATACCAGCTCATACACCTCACATATTGTTCAGTATGGTCAAAATTCGACCATTACCGATTGGTTGAGATTCGACAGGTATATATTAATATTATCTCAATAGTTTATTTAGCTCAAATATTAAAGTTTCAACACCTAATATCTCGACTTTTTTAGGTGATTCAAGATCAACGAAAGCAACTTTCTTTGAATGATGATCATGCAACTAAGTTCTTCCTCAACGCATCTGAAAAGGTAAGAAATTCAATTTTCGATACTTATAGCCTAGATTTTGTATTCATTTATGGCTAGATATACTCTATTCTTATTCAAATTTAATTCATATACTGATATGTTAGGATAAAAGACCTTCAAAAAGGTTTCTTTAATTTTGGCTGATTTTTCAATACTTTTTCAGTTTATAGGTATATACCATTTTACTGACACATGATATGTCACTAGTACATATCCAGTCAAACAAGGGATCAATATGCCACGTTGGTACAATATGGCAAATGATGCTAGAAAGTGATTTCAAAGAATCAAGACAAGAATTGTCCAATGCAGATTTTTTTGTTAAGAAACTATTCTAAACAGCTTCAACTCAAAATTGTGTTTCCCAAACAAGGAATCAAATAAAGGTCAGACTATTACACTGAATAATATTTGTCGATCAAGGACCAACACCAAAGTTTTTCAAATTTAAGTTAGCTAATTCCTATATGGATCTGGACTGGCCATCTTGTTCAAGCCACACCAAATGAATCAATTGCATTGAAGACGATAGCGCAAGAGTCCTTAAAACACCAAATACTAGGAGTTGGCATCAATTCTTCTGAAAAAATGGGAAATGTACTATCACTTCCAGCAACAAACTTTCACAGAAGCAAGTTGACACTACAGGATGAAATAATCATTTAGATCTTTTGATGAGATAATTATTATTTCTGAAAATATAAGTATATGATGCAATATTATTTTGTTACACCTTTATGGTTCATTTTGTGTTTCATTCAGTCAAATTGGAATCAATTTAATAGGTCAATTAATTGAGTCTTACATTGAGATATTTGGGAATGTTGCTTGATTGTTTTGCAACTTTGTTGTCAACATCTTTCAAATAATAAATTATAATTGCCAGCCTAAATTAGCCCACAGATGAAGAGTCATTTTCATCTTACAATTCTTCATTACTGAAACTATCTGCTGACTGAATATGGTAAGTTCATGCCCAACTGATCTCTTCCTTCTTCTGCCTGACTAATTGTATGTTTCAATTAAATTAGGTCAATTTTGTCTACCTCAGGATCTTGCTAAACCTGTATGAACATATTCCTTTAAAAAAATTTAACAATAAAGCTAAGTCCTCTAATTATAGACCTCCTCCATCATTTTTATGGGTACTAATAAGTAATAACATTCTAGAGAATGCTGCCAAATAGGTGAGAGTGTCAGACCTGATGGTATTTCTATTGAGGTTTAGAAGAGTTTAATAAACCTTAAAAAGATGAAAATAGGTAACAGTGGTGGACCTTACGGTATTTCTATTGAGGTTTAGAAGTGTTTAAGAGACCAAGGAATAGCTTGGTTGCCTAGTTTATTTAACAAAATTTTGAAATTTAAAAGATGCATGATGAATGAAAAAAGAGTTATTAGTACCAATTTATAAGACTGATGAAGATATTTAAAGCTTTTGTAATTACAAAGGAATTAAAATTATGAGTGACAATATGAAATTTTGGAAAAGAGAGATTAGAAGTCAAATAGGATATAAAACATATATCTCCAAACGGAAACCATTTTTGATGATCTGGTTGGACCAATATGTACCAATCAATATTGGTGCACCGATACCGATAAATACCAGTGTTTCTCAGACAAAGAAGGAGAAAAGGGATGTGGAGGAGGAAGAAAAATGAAGAGGAAGAAAGAAGAAGAGGAGGAAGGAGGAAGAGGAAGGAAGAAAAAGTGGTGATGGAGGAAGGGAAGGAAGAAGAGAAAGCCGAGGGGAGGAAAAAGAACGAAGAGGAAGTGGTGGAGGAGAAGGAACGAGAGGAGAGAAGAGGAGGGAGTGTACCGGGTAGATAAACAGCCTCAAACTATAGCACTGGTGATGTTAAATGATAGTGACGGTGACATTGAATGGCAATGGCAATGACATCGAACGATAGTGGCATCGGCAACATCGGCACTAGAAGAGGGCAGTGGTGAGAAGAGGGCTCGTGACTCTTGTTTTAGGACTTTTATATGAGTTGGAATCGCCCAAAATAGAGGCAATCTATGTATCGGTCCATGCCTGGATCGATACACACCACCTCTTTCGTATCGTTTCGAGCGATACGATAGTCCTTGGCTCCAAAAATTAATTTAGGTTAATGCAAGATATTTATTAAAACAATTGATGAAAAAATATATAGAGAAGAAGAAAAAATTGTATATCATTTTTATTGATTTAGAGAAGACCTTTGTTAAAGTTCCTAGAGATGTATGATGGTGCCTTTTACAGGGAAAGGTGTATCGCTAATTATACATGATATTATAAAAGATATATGTATATATAATACTATAGTTTACTAGTATTAGGACTATAAGGAGTTTGTTTAATAAGCTTTTGTTAGAATAGGACAATATCTAAGTATGCATTAAGTCATTACATTTTTATTTACTAATATTATTATTTCAATATATAAGACTTTAAATGAAATTAATTATAAACTTGAGTTATAGAGCCAAACTTTAGAGACTAAAAGTTTTAAATTAAGTAGGACTAAAACTAAATATATAAGATACAATTCTAGCAATACTAAGAATAAACTTGAAAATATAGTTAAGTTGGATGGGCAAGAAGTTCTAATAATATTTATTTATCTTGGATCGATTATTCAATAAGATAGAGAGATTAATAATTTATTAATAGAGTAAAAAAACTTGGTAATTAAAATGGAGAAGAGAGGAGCATTTGGAGCTTCATGATCACTAAGATATATTTTAGATTAAAAGAAAATTTTCATATGACAATTGTTAGACAAAAAATATACTAGAAAAGATAGGAATAGAAATGTTTTAATTCACTTCAAAAGAGAAAAATCATTTAAGATGGTACAAACATCTACGGAAACATATAATGCTATAATTAGAATAGTTGAATTAATTACTACTGGTAGGATGAGGAGAGTTAGAGAAATGTCCACAAATGATATTACTAAAGCTATAAATAAAAATTTATATACTCCCAATTTAACTAAGGATATGGTCTTTTGCATAGCTCAATAATGACAAAAGAACCATATAATCGACCTCAAATAGTTAGGACATTACGACTTTCTTGTTGTTGCATAATTGCAGCAACATATGCTTTTATTTCTCTCAATAGTCATAGGATTCCTTTTTCTTATCCTTCCGGTACTCCCCTTCCTTGCCTCTTCTTTTTTTCTGGACCTTCTTTATAAGGCTATCCAATCAACTAAAATGGGCAAAGAATCCAACATCCTTAATGGAGTTTGATTGAAATTGTCAATTCCAATTAATCTCTAATGATAAGGCTAATAAATCAATAAAAAAAGAATCAACCTTGGAAGATAATGATATATATATCTTAGAATCAGTTTTGAACACACCTTAAAAATGAGCTACTACAACAAAAACAAAGCATTTGAGTTGGTTAGTTACATGGATCTTTTTTTGAAATTGAGCTCTAACACTGTAACATAACCTATTGTTCTCAAAACCATCAGGTACAATGATCATAAGTGTCTATCCGATGGAAGGATCCCTGGAAAGGAAATAAATAAAAAGATTGCTTTCCTTTTTTGGCATATTTAATTGTGACACCTTCATATGTCCAAAAATTCTTCCCTTTAATGATGCACCACATTTGGATATTTTGAACTGATTTGGATAAATTAGCTCTACATATTATTTTGATTTTGACTATTTCGACGAATGCAGAGATCGTCTTGTTAGAATTCTCTGTACCATCAGATTTATCTGCTTCTTTCTCCCAGTCTCTCCTCAAAATATACAAGTAAATGAACACCATAAGAATCCTATTCCTGGATGTCATGTCAGAGATACAGGGAAAATTTTGCTCTGAGACTTGGGGACCTTATGAAGGTTACTGTATCATAAAGTAGGTACTGCAAAAAGTGTCACTACACAGCATACGACTGCAAGGAAAATAACTAATAACAAACTAGACTCAAACATTTATAAACCAAAATTGAAATTACCCAGTAAAATCCTAATAAAGAGACAATCAACTAACACAATCTGATAAAAAAATTCAGAACATTACAGAAAATGATAAAAACAATGGCAAATCTCAGCTTTATATGGACTCAAATGTGGACCTCATCATAATTCTGGTGGAAGGATGGTGAATAACGTCTTATTTATATATTCAGTAAACAGCGATAGCATTGACTTGCAAATAGTAATGTAGGGTGTTTCCATGTTTTTGCACCAGAAAGAGCAGCTATATGTAAAATTGCATAATCATTACAATCATCATCATCGTCATTTAATCTCTTTCTGTTCTAGTAATCTTTTTGATTGGATTGCCATCAATCCCAAATGCTTAAGCTTTAGGAATGTGTGTCCAACCTATAACTAAACTCTAACACCAACCTCAGCAAAGCTCAAAGCCTCAAACTTGTGAAGTCTCCATGGTAAAATCATAATTGGTTTACCACCGGCCGGGTCTATCATCAGCCAACTTGACAACCATCTAAGTTATTGTCAAATTCTAGCCAAGGCAAGTCTAGCCAAGAAGAGAGTTCTTCTAAATCCCAATAACACTTTGGAGCTATGCACAGTTCAGGAAAGAATCAAAATAAGGATGAAGCAGTAAGCTCTTCTATGGGATCAATTGTCATTGAAAAGGTACAAAAGAAGAGCCAAGAAAACACAAACTCCCATTCATGAGTGTAGGAAATTTCACATGCCACATCTTCAGTGTTCTCATAGCAAGGCCCCTACTTTTGTCTTTGTAAACAAGTCGCCAATTAAAAAAGGTAAAATACAAGTTCTAAGTGATCACACTGACGACTGCAGCATAACTGTGACTGCTAGGAACCACTGCTACCAAGTCATTCCCCTATCACCAATCTCAAAATATACAACAAAGTTCTTTCTGCAGCAGTTTCTTATGAATCAGCCATGTACTCAATCATCACTTGTCCTATCACCTACAACAACTTAGCACACTCCTCCAATTCTTGGTTCCTTATAAGGCGATGAAACCAAGCAATTCCACCTAGTCACATGCATGCCATTCCAGTAATTGTGCAAAAAACGTATTACAAACAGAAGGAACACCCACCAGTCTTCCACTCTCGAACGTAAAATCTGAGACGCCGAGGCTCTTGAAGAACTCGATAGCTTCTTCGATCACGGGCGGCCGATCAAGATTCCACTCGTGGGTGCAACCGGAGCATCTAAAAACGTTTAGCAAAAAAACCATGAGAGACAAATCCAGATTAAACGATCAAAAAAGAAATTGGTAGCTATTTATGCTTGTCTCAACCGAGGTCGAGACAACAAACATACGACTGGAAGTGTGGGCATTGGAGGGCAGTGGAGGTTGCGGCCGCGTCGGAGGAGGAGGAAGAGGAATGGCGCTGCAGAGGATTAGGGTTCCGACGACGGAGAAGGGTAGGAGTAGAGGCTGGCGGCGGGTGGTTTCGAGTGGCCACTCGGGCGGCGACGTTAGCGTGCGGGAGAAGCGAAAGAGCCATAACATCCACCCAGCGGGAGCGCAAGCGGGCGATGATAAGGCCACCGAACCGAGAGAATGTGCCCAAATATCCAATTAGTTTTATGGGTGAAGACCACAAGGGTTCGAATCCTGCTGCAAGCAATGGGAGAACAAATCATGACCAACGTAATGCGTTAAAGCCACGTGGATGACGACGAACTAAAAATATAATTATTTTTCTATAGTGACTTAAGAATCCTACGTGGCATATGTTTATTCATTTATTTATTCTAAACTCCAAAATTCCCTACTGGACATGATTTAAGAATATAGTTTTGACTCAAAACATTAGAACTATTTTTTGGACCATGAAATATGAATTTGGATGTGGACAACATTTTTGCCAAGATAACATTGTAACATATTGTAACATGAAGTAATGGTCATCCAGCTAATCGATTCATTAGATAATCATGCAGAAGAAGACACTGTACTCAAATTATTTCAGAATTCTTTTCCTAGATATCTCATTCTTTCTAAAGCATTATGAAGTTATCAAGCAAGCAAAAGAAAACATCCTTAATCCTTTCAAGGACCACACTGCAATGGGCATGACGGAAAGTATTGCATTAGCGCAGCAGATGATAGCAAGACCAGCAGGGAGAGAGCTAAAACACAACACAGAGCAAGAGCTATATTTCTTGAATGTATAGTGGACATGTTGCTTTCAAGACAGATATTTAGGAAGGCAACAGATGTACAGATTTCCAAAGAAAAGTTAACTGCTTGTTTCTTCTTTTCCATGTTTATGAGTGCATGGAAATTTTACATGGCAGTAGAAAATGTAACAAGCTTTTGTTTACAGATTTCCAACTCGCAGTTATCTGCCAAAAATTGTCTCTTTAACTAACTCTTAAAGGTCTATGTCGAGGCTAAGATCATGACACTCGTACATATGAGCATACAATGGAAGTACTATAAGGAGCCTAGATAACCCATTCAGAAGACAATTTACTAAAAGCAACAGCAGTATCAGGAATTGTAGGCTCCAGGATTCAGCTTCTGCCTTTTCTCATCAAAGCCAAAACTCTGCAAGCTTGGCAAGCAACAATGACCAGCCTTCCATATTTTGCCTTTCCTGTTCTTGCGATCCTGACTTGGTGTCATTTCACTTGCACAGACAGAAGTGGCTCCAGAGCAGTATGGAGTGCCATTTAATGATCCTGGAGCTTGGTCTGTGTCGGTTTTGAGTACATCGGGTTTTCCATTGATTCCCACTTCCTCTTCGGCAGCATTTGTTGCATCAACTGCTCGTTCACCTTGAATTGTTTCATGTAGAATGTCACCTAATTTCTTTCTACCAGCGGGAGAGGGTTCGGATTTAGAGTCTGGATACTTGTCCACAAAGATGGTATTATCCAATCCAGAGATCAACCTTACATTTGTTTGATGGTCAGGGGTACTTACTCGTGACGGTGTCAAGTCTGCATAATACAAAATGCACCACGTGTAAGCAAAATTCATTACTGAAATTGAACTAAATATGTGCATAACAACATATCAAGATGTTTCTTTAAAAGAAATTCCGTTAAAGAGTTTATAAAGGCAACGAGAATTTTCATCTTTTTAGTGTATATATAGTATACCTCCAATGACACTAAAGAAATCATCCTCACATTCAGAATCCAAACTTTCTTTTGAGTCAAAAAATATTTCCTCCTCGCAGCCTGCAGAAATCATACATTAAGCATGAATCACCCAAGTCCAAATAATTAGATGAAGATGTTAGAATTGCAAATAGACTCTTAATAAGCTCTACCTCCTATTTCAGAATAATCTTTGGAAAATTTCAACAGCATGCTTATTTGGTTGATGCCTTCTGTTTCACATATCTCGATGACATAATGCAGTGCAAAACAACTAAATAACACCTTGTCTACCAGTAATCTACAAGATGAGAAATTTAAGATATTCGCTTTGGCATATTGCGTTAAATCACTGTGAAGTCAAAAGATTATCCATGGTATTGGAGATATAAGATATCACTCTCCAAAAGCAACAACACAGAGGCCAAAATAAAAAGGTAACTATAGTCTGGAATCTCTGGATGATATATCCAAAGAACATAGCTTTTTTTTTTTAATTGCAGAACGAAGCTCTTAACCATTTTTTGTCTGTCTCCACCAAGGTTTGGTCTAACTCTTTGTAAAATTCCCTACAATTCTTTCACCAAAAGATTGTGGTCCTTTGGAAGTACCGCTTCAAATATTTGCTGAAATGAAAATTTGATCTCAACAAAATCACTGAACTATTCTTCAACAAGTGCATATTATCAACAATGATCTAAAAGTTCTTCCCATTGATACAATGTGGTCTGAGCTTCCATTTTGCAGACACTTTATTGTTTCACATCTGAATTCCAATGTCCATTGGATTTGTTCAGAATCAGTTGTTGACAGGCTTAATCATATACAAAAATTGGAATGTTGACTAGTTCCACCAAAAATCATCGTAAACCACACAATAGTTCAGCAGCTCAGGCAATACAAACCAGCACCATGTGATCAGCCTGAATGGGTTTCCATAAGCTAAGCTCCTGCAGTTACTGTGCTTTTGCATAGGTTCCTTCCCATGTGCTTCTTTTGATTGGATCCATTATTACTATAAAGCTTTTGGGGTTGTTGATACTTTCCCAATTTATAAATGATTACCTCTTGAAGCCCCTAAACTTGCAATGAAGCATGCCCAAACTCCAATGAAATGTTCAATATTTTGTCAAGTACAAATAGGAGTACTAGTTCTTCGTATGTTTTAAGATGATAAATTGAGTGATATGCTTGCAATTTGTTCCAACAGATCCTTTTTTCCAACAAATTCCAAAAGCTTTCTATCATGACATGTATATTCTCCAACTTGATAGTTGTCACTGTTTAGAGGTGCTAGAGTCTTCCTTTTCCTTGATCATAATCTCCAACGTCATTCGAGCTTTCTGAGAAGTGGCAGTATCCCTTTTTTTGGATTAAAAACAGAAAGAATATGTCGACCAAATGGGTTTTCTCCACACAGAAGGATGATATGGAATCAATTACAGTTCAACTGCTGGAAGATTAAGTTGCCTCACATTTTCATATTTTCAAGAGGATGACTAATTTTTGTCCTGTAACTTGTCAACTGCCTGATGACAAGCACAACAAGAAACATTCATAAATGAACTCATCAGGAACTTAGTTACGGAAATGACTGACATTTAGAAAACCACCTCCAAACATCATTAGACTAGCCACTTTAAGAACAACTTAGAATCCCTTGCATCTTCCACTTATTATAAAAAATATAAGTTTCCCTTTTGTTTAAGCAACATTAACATATCGCCCTCAGTTACTAACTGAGTCCAAAGTCATTGAGAAGTTCCAACAAGATCTAGGAAGAGAGATGCAATTCATGTAAAACCTGAGTCTTCTCCAGACCAGTAGTTTTCCCTTTCCCAACCTAATAAAAGTTTTGCATGTAATCGTTAATGTCAAACAAGATATGCAAGGTCAGACTTGTTGCTGCTGACATTTTCTCTCCTAATTGGTGTACCACCAAATTTCAAGCATGAAAGCCACACCATATAAGGAGGGTTTGGAACAATGTAACATTGGTCAAACATTAAGAATAGCATAGGCAAATGCTACTAGTTTCTTGTGATGGTAAAGACTGCAATCTCAGGCCCGCACATGGATTAACACTTTAAACTAGTAGCAGATTACAATAATACACTTACATGTACTTAACTATTAATGTTTAGATTGTGAAATGGAAGAGCTTTAAATGGGAGCTGCACTATTCTGTAGTAACATTATTTATGTCTTAAAAAAACTGTAAACATAATCGTTCATAATTTTTCCCAAAAATCTTGATGTTGATCTTAAGTAAAGAGATAAGCAAGGACTTCTAGATAGAAAAGTAATACCAAGTGTCTTAAAGTAGTAGAAAGAGAAACGGATATAGATCAACAAACAAAAAACCAATAATGCTCTCTAGTTCTGAGTAGAACTTTGACATTATAATACTCCTACTGACAAGGTGAGTCTAAGCTTATTGATATTATTTAAGGATCCAGTATCAGAAAATAGTTAACTTTACCACAAATGTACATTAAACATATTTATTACCAGAATATCAAATATTCACGAAGATAATCACAGATAATAGGTGAAATCTTAAGATGAGTGCTCGATTTAGAAAGATAATGGTTGAATGATGAAGCCATGAGCACTACAAGGTTCTAATTTAAGGAGAATAACTAAAATGATTTGAGTGGTAGACGAAGATTGAAACGACGAGTATAGACAAAGGAACGCATAACATATAGTACAAATTCGTAACCTAATGTCAAGTAGCATACTTTGCACCCATCGCTACGGAGAGAGAGCAAAGCAATCTTGCAAACCTGTCACTCAGGCCACCCTCTGTTTTGGTTATAATCTGGCAGCATGATTATCAGATTTAAAATATTCTAAACAAACTAGAACTCACTGCAATAGCATAATATGAACTTGTTCCCTTAGATAGATTCAAAATCTGAGGTAGTAGGTTGTCTATGGCTTATTGCGATCCATATATCAGACATAACAAAATGAATAATTTAATGATTTGCAGAAGAGAGCAGCAAATCCAACAGAAATATACCATCAGCACTGCTGCTTTGTTTTCTAAAATAAATGTTGTAAATCAATTATCAGAGCTTTTCCCACAAAATATCGCAATCCAAAACGAAAAAGCGATTAATAAGAAAAGACAAGAAAACAATTACTCACTCGACAGACTTAACATAATGTACTCGAGCGAAAATTAGACCTTTGCCAACACTCCAGAGTTGCAAAAGAGGAGTTGATCTCCTTAAAAGAACATACCAAAGTCTGGGTTCTCAGGGCCAAATCGACCCAAAGGGTTATCCCAACACAAGGGCTTCTCCTTGGCGGGCGACGGGAAGAAGAAGAACCTCTTGACCTTGGAACCAATGCCTAGACATCGTCTCATGGTGGAATCTGCTCTGTATGCAACCGAAACGCAGGAACCCGTCTTCAAAATCAAATCTTTTCTACCATAGAGCTACCACAGCACTGTGTCCTGCCAGTTTTCGCAGAAAGAGCTGAGGAAAAGTACTAGGAAGGAAAAGAAAAGGCAGCAAAGCACAAAAACAAAAGGCGGTTGGTTTCACTTAGTGTCGTGAAGGCCGACCAAAGGTCCCATTCTTCAGGAAAAGGAGATCCTTCAGCTTCAAAGAGTTCGACGGTGGAGAAAGGAGGAGGACGAAGAGGAGGGGAATTAGAAAAGTAGCTTCACAAAGGTCAAGCAGGAATTAATGCCATCAATGTATTCCACCCACTAAATTTGTGGGCTTTATGAATGCATTTATCTATTCATGTCACGTCCATGTTGCAATTAGAATCCTTCTCGGCCTCTTGTGTGTTCTATTTATATTTGTCTCGAGTTGATCACAACCTAAAGACTACTTTAGTAGGTGCAAATCTACCCAGAGATATCTTTTTAGATTATATTTGACCTCAAGTACAGACTGCTGCCTTTGTGTTACTCGGGTCACTGTCGATGTGGAAAATGAACACTACGTTTTGGAGATTTCAGTTGAGAGAATATCCATAAAATCTTGCACTTCGTGTGAGTTTGGCATGGCCGAAGCTTGTTGATTATGGTAGTTAATCTCATAAAAAAAAGTATGATGGTGACATTTCCTCATCGATTAAGCATATATA